TCATGGTGTGGGGCTGTTTTTCAGCATATGGTATTAGATAAATTTCAGTAAGTGTGTTCAATACTTTTTCCCTGTGCCATTCCACATTATTACAAATAACTTCATTTCTGGACATTTATGGTTTGATTTCTTTGTATGTATGGATCACTTGGGTTGTTACCGACATCTGGTGAAAATTTCATGTCATTAGCACCTCTAGTAAAATATTTACTGAGAAAAATGGTTACGCATTCAATACTTATTTTACCCGCTGTAAGTTTTGTATATTTGCTGCCGTGTTTCGTATTATCTTTCATTATTTAGTAAAGGTCTTAGTTTTAGAGCTCCGGTACATGCTCTCTTCAAGGTGAACTTTCAACTTCCATAGTTTCAAAAAGTGTCAGTCGTCCTAACCGTCAACCTCGCTAACACCAGCTCCTGTGTTTTACTCACAGGAGTGGGCAGAGGGCGCTGAGGCTGCCAGCCTGCTGCAGGGGCTCGAGGCTGGGCCAGAACACACAACCGCTCCGACGGCACGGCCCTGAGAGCCCATCTACTCACCTCCCAGATGGGAGAGATTCTGAGGAAAGAAAGAAACAAGACTAAGAAGTCAAGCAATCTAATCAACACAAAGCACATCACAAACTTTATTTTGTTACATTCCTGATTTTCTTTTCTAAATGACATGAATTCATTTGCAGAGTAAATTAGATTTACAACTGATGTGTTTCCAGAGCATAAAGTGGAGGCAGAATGAGGAAAAAAAATCAGCTTAATTTATTTACACGACTTGATGGTAGAACATTTTACTTAGGGCTAAGTCGGACCAACGAGGTGTTAACTCTGTGGGAAGCAGGAGAAATAAAAAACGTTATCCTTTTTTTTTAAAAAGTTTGCACTGAAATCTAAAGAAATTTGTGAAAAATTGACCAATTTTTGTAGTGGATTCAGTCCTGTGTCGTGGCAGTTTATCCAGCCAGTAAACAGATCGGCTGAAACAGAAAAGACAAGCCCGATCAGGAAAAAAACAAAATAAATTTTAATATCAGAGTGTCGTCAAAGTGGGTTAGGCCTACCGATCTGGATATCTGCAAAGGTTGGGTTTGGGCTGAGCGAGTGTCTGCATTCGAGCTGCCATTGAAACTCCAAGCTGCTGGTTTAACACGCCGACGAGAAAACGAGGGATTCTGACGTTTGTTTCTTAAAAAACACAAGAGTTTGACAAACATCAGGGGATACATCAGATTTTCTAATGTCAGTTGAAAATATGGACAGAATGCTGTAAATATTCTCTTAATCCCCCCCTCCCCCGATGTTTGGGCCTTTTCCTCTTCCTGCACAATGTTTTTATTTTGTCCTTGAATTTTGATTCATATTTTTATGTTGCAAATAAAATGAATATATTTTCCAAAAATTTCAGATTCTCAACAAAAACAAACTGGTAAAATCCAGTCTGTTGAAGAAATATGAAATGATATATGTATACTTAAAAATTGTCTGAGAAAGATTTAATTTTTTTATTAATTATTTTCCTGTATTTTTTATTATTGTTTGAATTTCTTTTGATGGAAAAATGTGCAGATATTAAAATTTTTTTCTTCCTTCTGCTGCCTTTCATTTTATTTTTCATTTGTATTTTTTGTATACTGAATTTGCTTTGTTTTTAAATGAATGAATAAACTAAACTAAAAAAACATTTATGGTAAAGGAACTGATCCTGTATACACGCATAATGGAGAACTTTGTGGTAATATATATGATATTTTGCATCTCAAGTCAAATGTATCTTGTAGAATCAAATTAATAATTTCTAAGAATTTCTAATATTAATTTCTAAGAATGAATTCAGTATGTTTTTTTTTTTGCATGAAGAACATTTTAGAAATGCAATATTTCTGATTATATTAAATTTTTTTATTTCTCTGCTCCTCATTAACTTTCTTGCTGTAAAACAGGTCAAATAAACATTATCTTGGCCACTATATTTACAAGATCATTAAAAACCACTACATTTTATATACTCCCACAAAAAGCAGATAATCTAATGATGCATGGTTTTTATTACCTGCTCGGTACCTGCAGTCCGTTCTTTGTGGTGACACAGACACCTACTGGTTGCTATGGTATCAGGTGACGGTACACCAGCGATGGTTTGTAACGAGGAGAAGTACGATTAAGTCTCTGGATTGTTYAAAAACACATTTGTCATTAAATAAAATGACACGTTGAACCTCTCAAACACTTTTAAACTCAAAACCACAATGACCAACTCCACTTCATCCCTTCAGTWTTATTCCACATTTATCTTGTGGTCCTAATGTTACAGATCCAAAGACAACATGATGGAGGAATATGAGCCTGAAGGGTTAAAAATAAATAACTACTTACAATTAAGCAATAGTTTTAATTAGTTTTCACCTGGTAATAAATAAATCAAACATCAGCACAGCAAAGGGCCATAACTTCAGCAAGAAAAGGTGCAGCACAAAATGTCAAAAATCTGCTTCTCAATATAACACTTCCCACTCAGTTGTAATTAATTCCCTGTATGAGGAGCTGAGCTGACAAGTAAAATGCTTACAGAAAGATGAATTGCGCCAAAAATAACCATTTGGAGGTATAAAAATTAGGGCTGTGTATTGGCAAGATTTTGGCGATATGATACATATCATGACAGAGGGGTCACGATACGATATATCCCGATATATTGCGATGCTATAAGCAAGGCGATATATTGTGATTTTTTTTGTCCAAAAATTATATTAAATAAAAACCTCTTACTGGGGAAAAAATGAAAAAC